GGAGGTGAAGGAGGAGGGGAGAGAAGGTGAAGGAGGAGGGGAGAGGAGGAGGAGGAGGGGGAGGAGGAGAAGAGAGGAGGAAGACACAGAAAGAGAGAGACCAAGATCCAGAAAAAGTCAGAGAGACACAGATAGCAACAGAATCAGGCCTAAGGCAGAGATACTACTGGGCATGGCTGCACCGCAGACCCACCTGGGGCAGGGTGTATCCTCGGAAGCAGGTGGTCCTCGTGAGGGCTCGGGGTATCCCCATGGGCACCAGTGCCAGCAGCCGCTGCGCCTCGTGCAGAACCGCGTCCGTGTATGGGAGGCGAGCTCGGTCCCCCAGGCCTGGCGCCCGGCCAGCACCCAGCTCCCTTGTCAGTTCCTCGTGCACGCGTTCTGCCCCCAAGAAGAGGAGGACTGGAGGTCAGAGGGGTAGGACCTCTCCCTGGGAGCCCCATCTTCTTGAGCAGCTGTGGTTAGGGATGAGGCTGGTGGGTAAGAGGAAAAGCCCCCAGCCCTCCCTGAGCTGGGTCCCACACATCCTGTGTGCTGGGCACTACTTCTCTCCTATCTTAACTCCCTCAGCTATTCTGTGAGCTACGTACCAGTATCTACCCCATTTCCCAAACGAGGAAACCGAGGCCCAGAGAGCTGGAATCACAGCTGACTCTACTCCACCAAGGCCACCAGACCTCAAGTCCCATCTGTTAGGTCAACGAAGGAGGAACACAGGAGGCCAGTGGTGAGGGCTTACCACTGGATGACCCTGGATGGCTCCAGCACCCAGTGAGGGGAGTCAGCAGCTTTTAAAGGTCTTTTTGCGGGGATTTTTCTGGGCGGAGACTTCTTTATGCGTACCCGGAGGGGAGAGAATGTGAAAAGTGGTCTTCAGCAAAGGGAATGTCCACAGTGAAATAACCTGAAAAGCCAGTTGGGGTCGGGGGAGGGGAATCAACTCAATTGCTCCACAAACCTAACGATTTGGCTGGTCTGAGTGCAGTGTCTTACTTCTTATCCAACCATCCTGGCCCCTGGCTTCACCTGTCCTTTCCTTCCCTTTCTCTTTTCCCTTGGACAACAGCCCATTCTAACATTCTCTCCCACTTTCACTGCAATAAAATCTCAACCACTCATCTGTCGCCCCTTATTGGCAGTGCCATGGTGACTACCCTCTCAGCTTGGAGTGCGGAACTAGGAAAAGGAACCTCCTACCCTTTAGTCCACCTCTACACCTATCAGCTTGTCTCCGTGATCAGGGATTTTTCTTCCTCTGTGGGGAAAACACATACATCTGTCTCCCCATCAGCTGGACAGGAACCTGTACTCTTGTCTCTCACCCAATGTAGATGTAGCCCCCAATAATCAGTCTTTACCTGTCCCCGTAACCCATCATATCTGACACCAAAGAGGAGTCCAGATAATCCCTCTCCTCATAACCTTAGGCATCACAGTAGGGGCTGGAACTGCCATCGGGAGCTTAACCACTGCTCTACCTATTTTGAAACGCTGTCTCAGGACCTACAAGAAACATGTGGCCCTGGCCGTTTTGGCTCGGTGGATGGAGTGTCGGCCTTTGGATAGAAGGGTCCCAGGTTCGATTCCGGTCAAAGGCATGTACCTTGGTTTCGGACACATCCCCAGTAGGGGGTGTGCAGGAGACAGCTGATCAATGTTTCTCTCTCGTCGATGTTTCTAACTCTCTATCCTTCTCCTTTCCTCTCTGTAAAAAATCAATAAAATATATTAAAAAAAGAATTAAATGAGTTAATATTAAAAAGAAAGAAAGAAAGAAAGAAAGAAAGAAAGAAAGAAAGAAAGAAATTAAGAAAGAAAGAAAGATGTGGATGCCCAGCAAGGGGCAAAACTGGGAAAACAAGAACCTCACCCCCTGGGTAACCTATTCTCCCCTTTCATATCACTAGTGAGGCAACTGAGACCCCTACTCTTTCCCCCCTAAAAATAACATCTAGGTCTCAGTTGTATTTCAGCTTCAGGCCCAGAAAAGCAGCAAAACCAGACAAGTGATGCTGTGGCAGCCTCAGGACCAGCTTTTACCCCTCAAGTCACTCAATAGAACCGTTTTAGAGACTTCACCAACCAGTCTCTTGGGGAAATCAAGCTGCTGCACCCCTAGTCCAGCCCACTACTATCAAAGTCCATTCCATCCCACCTCAGCAGGAAGCAATTACAGAAGATATGACCTTTGTCCCTATTCCATAAAACAAAAAGGCTGGAATGTTAGGTTTGATGGAGCAATTGAGTTGATACCCTTCCCCCCTGGGAACTGGCTTTTCAGGTCATTTCACTATGGACATTCCCTTTGCTGAAGACCACTTTTCACTTGCGGTGGGTGACCACATTCCATTCTCTCCCCTTCAGGTATGCATAAAGAAGTCTCCGCCCAGAAAAATCTCACCAAAAGACCTTTAAAAGCTGCTGACTTCCCTCACTGGGTGCTGGAGCCATCCAGGGTCAGCCACTGGTGTGTGGATGATCGAATAAATTCGTAATCCTTCACCGTAATCCCTCACCACTCTGGCCTCGTGTGTTCCTCCTTTGGCGAATTAACACCATCTTCCAGGTCAGCCCACCCCACTAGCTCAACAGCATTTATCTGCCCAACGTGAGACGCTGGGTTTCCTTGGGGCTTATTAGCAGCCCTATACTGTTCCTCACCATCCCAGCTTCAGTTCCAACCTGCGCTCTCAGGACCCCAATTTGTTTTTCATCTCCTGTCCTGACCCTCCTGGATGCCTCCTCACAGGTGGTCCCAGGCCCCTCACACTCAAAGTGTCCCAAACTGGCCTCAGTGTCTTCCCTGAAACAGTCTCTCTTCCTTTCTGTTCCCATCTCGGGGTAGCCCCCCGGTCCCCCCAAGCCCCTGGCTAGAGCCCTGGGCCTGCCTCTGACTGTCTCCCTTCCCATCTTTCTCTACCACCTGCCCACTTGGCCCCTTCTTTTCTCTCCACAGCTTGACCCAGCCTGTCCTCTCCCACCCAGGTCCCTACCCAGGCTTCCCTCCTACTTCATGGAAGCCCAAAGAATTTTTCTAAAATGCTAATTTGACCCCACCTCCCCCTGCCCAACATCCTTTCATGGATCCCCATTGCTCAGGATTAAGGGACAAGGCCCTGAGACATCTCCTGCCTCATTTCTCACTACGCCTCATTTGACAACCAACAGTCCCTCCGCTTCTCGCGCCTCAGACACCCCAGATGCCAGGCTCATGGTCACCTCCAGCTCTGGCTCAGGCTGCCCACTCTCCTGAACATTCTTCCTCTCCAGCTCTCACTTCTGTTACCAGGGCCTGGCTGGTGGAAAAGGCTCCTACCTTGGACCTGAGGGTATTTCAGCAGGAGCAGGAGGGTGTAGCGGACCGTGGTGCTGATGGTTACCGTCCCCGCAAACAGCAGATAAATGACAGTCATCAACAAGTTCTTGTCAGTGAATTCTGTGTTTGAATCACGTTCCTCCTGGAAGAAACCGGGCAGAGGGGCTCAGAGAACACAACCTGCACGTAGCAGGGGCCGCCCAGCTGGGCTTCGGGTAGCACAGCAAGTTCAAGCTTTGTCAAGGAGTTTAAATAAATGTTTGGGAAAGTCAGGATGTGGGCTCTTGATATTATTCTGTCTGGTTGGAATGTTTTTAAAAATGAAAGAGAATGGCCACCATAAACACGCAAACAGAAAATGACAAGTGTTGGTGGGGATGTGGGGAAATTGGAACCAATGTCACCATTGGTGAGAATGTAAAATGGTGCAGCTGCTCTGGAAAATAGTATCACAGTTTCTCAAAAAAATTCAAATAGAATAATGATATGATCCAGCACTTCCACTTCTGGACTTATCTCCAAAAGAATTGAAAGCAGGGTCTTGAAGAGATTATTTGTACACTCATATTCACAGTGGTGTGAGCCACAATAGCTAAAAGGTGGAAGTAAGCCAAGTGCCTATCAATGGATGAACGGATACATGAAATGTGGTCTATCCATACAATGGAATATGATTCAGCCTTAAAAAGAAAGGATAGCCCTTGTCCAGCTAGTGTGGCTCAGTGGTTGAGCATCTACCCATGAACCAGGAGGTCACAGTTCAATTCCTGGTCAGGGCATATGCCCGGGTTTTGGACTTGATCCCCAGTGTGGGGTGTGCAAAAGGCAGCCAATCGATGATTCTCTCTCATTATTGATGTTTCTAATCTCTATCTCCCTCTGCCTTCCTCTCTGAAATCAATAAAAATATACTAAAAAAAAAAAAAAATAAAGGAAATCCCAACATATGCTACAACATAGAGGAAACTGAGGACATTATGCTAAATGAAATAAAGTAGTTAAAAAGGTCTAATACTGTATGGTTCCACTTATATGAGGCACCTAGAGAAGGCAAATTAATGAAGACAGAAAATAGATTGGTGCTTGCCAGGAGCTGGGCTGAGGGAATGGGGTGATGTTGAGAGTATAGCACTTCAGCTTTGCAAGTTGAAAGGAGTGCTGGAGACTGGTTGCACAACAATATAAACACACTTAACACTGTTGAACTGTACACTCAAAAATGGTTAAGATGGTGAATTTCATGTTATGTGTATTTTACTACAATTATATTTTTAATTAAAAAAAATAAAAAAGAAATGGGGCCACATATATAAGAAAAAAATTCTCTCTCCATGAACAAGGTGGCTGCATTTATTCAAAGGATGTGGCCCTGAATAGCTCCCATAATTCCAAAGTTTGTACAATGCAAAACTAGTTATTTCCACAGGAGTCCCCTGAATTCTCATTTTCTCATATTGTTCTTATATAATTAAAAAGCAGACTTTATTAGAATAATTGGCTAATGCAAGGTTTCATAAGGAAATGACTAAGTCTCAGGAAGTGTCCTGTGTGGGTAGGGGGGGCAGGGGTGGGGAGTGGGGTGAAGCAATGGTGGCCATTGCTAGTGGCAGGTCACTGGGCATGGGGGTGAGGTTGGAGGGAGGAGAGGGGAGAAATGCAAGAGACTTGGATACTCATGAAGTAGGGGTAGGGAGAGGCAGAGAGAACAATGCATTAGAAAGAAGAGATATGCACACACATGCACAGACACACCTGGGTGGCAGGCAGCCAGGCCACCATCCCCATTCAGGAGCGCCTCCAAACCTCCACCTTCCCCCACCTTTGCCATCTTCAGCAGGAAGGCATCCACAACATCGCGTGCAGGGCCTGAGGGGTCCAGCCTCCCCTGGTGCCGCTGCACCTGCTCAATGGCGAAGGTGGCCAGGGTGCTCACATGGCTGAGGAGCTGGGTTTGGGAGCCTGGAAGGCGCTGCAGGAGCCAGGAGAACATCTCATAGGTCTGTGGGGAGAAGGGCAGCTGTTTCCATGGGGCCTGGCCCTGCACCAAGGTGGAGGGGCAGGTGGATGGGGTGCTCTGGGGGTTGCCTGGAAGAGGAAGGCAGAAACGTTTGGGGAAAGTGGTTGGAGAGGGGGTCTCACCGCTTACCTGGCCCCAAGGCGAGCTGATCCCCAGCAGGATGCCACCAGCAGCCTGGACCACAGCCTGGAACTCCTCATCCTCGTAGGGAAAACGGAGGCCCACGGTGAGGGAGCAGGCAACATTGGAGGTGGCCTGGGCCAGCAGCAGGGAGGGGTCAAATGGCTGTCCTGGTGGGGAGGAGGCAAGGAGGAGTGTTGTGATGGAATCGGAGAGGACCGACTCCATGGGGGCCAGAAACAACCACAAAGAGAAAGGCATCGAGACAGAGACAGACAGACAGGGACAGAGAAACAGACAAGGACAGAGAGAAAGAGACAAATAGAGACACAGACAAACAGGCAAGGAGAGAGACAGAGAAATTTACAGGAGAGAAAAACAGAAGTGGAGAGAGAAAGAGGCAGAAAAGTGATGTGACAATACCAGGGACTCTCAGGGAGACGGCAGGACAGCGACAGAGGGAAAGAAGGAGCTAGAGGTGGAGGTGAATAGAGCCCCCAGCCCAGGCACCATGGGAGGGTCCTCCCCACACTCAGGACCCCAGGGACCCTGGGCTGCCCCTGCCCTGCTCACCTGCTGTTCCCTGGAAGGCCTCCACCAGACACCGGGCCTCAGCCTGGATCAGCTCCTCGCCTTCTCGCTTCCCCATGCCCAGGTCCCGCAGAGCGAGCATGGTAAACCTCCTCAGCTGCCTCCACCGCTCCCCATTGGAGAAGAAAACCCCTGCACAGAAGGCTAGACTCAAGGAGCGACTGGCCCCTCTTTCCATTCCCTAGGACTACCCCTTCCTTCCGAAGTGCCCAGAGGGGGTTCTTCGGGCCCTGTCCTGAGTCCACATCTACCTAGTCCAGAGATGAGGACTCAGTAGGTGCTTAATAAATACCTGTCCTTGGGGCAGAGGGTGACATTTTCCTGAGAAGTTGGTAACTGGGATTATCCAGGCTCCTGTTCTGTGATCAACCAGCTGAGCGAAGATTCCTTCCTCCCTTCCTTCCTTCCTTCCTTCCTTCCTTCCTTCCTTCCTTCCTTCCTTCCTTCCTTCCTTCCTTCCTTCCTTCCTTCCTTCCTTCCTTCCTTCCTTCCTTCCTTCCTTCCTTCCTTCCTTCCTTCCTTCCTTCCTTCCTTCCTTCCTTCCTTCCTTCCTTCCTTCCTTCCTTCCTTCCTTCCTTCCTTCCTTCCTTCCTTCCTTCCTTCCTTCCTTCCTTCCTTCCTTCCTTCCTTCCTTCCTTCCTTCCTTCCTTCCTTCCTTCCTTCCTTCCTTCCTTCCTTCCTTCCTTCCTTCCTTCCTTCCTTCCTTCCTTCCTTCCTTCCTTCCTTCCTTCCTTCCTTCCTTCCTTCCTTCCTTCCTTCCTTCCTTCCTTCCTTCCTTCCTTCCTTCCTTCCTTCCTTCCTTCCTTCCTTCCTTCCTTCCTTCCTTCCTTCCTTCCTTCCTTCCTTCCTTCCTTCCTTCCTTCCTTCCTTCCTTCCTTCCTTCCTTCCTTCCTTCCTTCCTTCCTTCCTTCCTTCCTTCCTTCCTTCCTTCCTTCCTTCCTTCCTTCCTTCCTTCCTTCTTTCCTTCCTTCCATCTTTTTACTCCTCTTTTCACCCACCCATACTTTTATCCTTCCTTCCTCTTCTTCCTTCCTTCCATCCCAGCATTTGGAGTACTGTGTGGTCCCCTGCCCCACGTTGTTTGGAGGTTGAACAGGGAGGGAAGAGGATGGAGTTGCAGTTTTCCTCCCTTATCTCAGAGACCTGCCCTGGATAGACCCTTCCCTGCTCTGAGCTCAGTGTTCCCACTTGTAGAATTCTGGCCTGTAATGGCCTCTTGGATGCCTCCTCCCAGGTGTCCCCATCCACCCACCCCTCCACTGTGTCCCCAACTGGCCTCAGCATCTCTCCTCCTCCCTGTTCTTAGCCCTGCCACCCCCACTCCTGTTTGGAGTCCAGAGT